TAATAAAACTGTTTGATGATTAATAAAACTGATGTTTAATAAAACTGATGATTAATAAAACTGATGTTTAATAAAACTGTTTGATGATTAATAAAACTGATGTTTAATAAAACTGTTTGATGATTAATAAAACTGATGATTAATAAAACTGTTTGATGTTTAATAAAACTGTTTGATGATTAATAAAACTGATGTTTAATAAAACTGATGATTAATAAAACTGATGTTTAATAAAACTGATGATTAATTCTGCGGCTGCAACGTTGACCAGCTCATAGATCGTCTCTTCACAGGGTTGCCAGATAAGATTGTTACATTTACACTATAGTTTTTATGCAGACGGCAGGCAGCTCAGCCCCACTGAGCACACACAGGGAGGAAGATCAGTATTTGAACACGCTGCGACTTTGCAAGTTCTCCCGCTTAGAAATCATGGAGGGTCTGAAGTTTTCATCTTAGGTGCATGTCCTCTGTGAGACATGATCTAAAATAAAAATCCAGAAATCACAAAGTATGATTTCTTAATAATTTATTTGTGTGTTACTGCTGTAAATAAGTATTTGAACACCTGTGAACATCACTTAATATTTGGACCAGTAGTCTTAGTTTGCAGTGACAGAGGTCACATGTTTCCTGTAGTTCTTCAGCAGGTTCACTGCAGCAGAGATGTTGGTCCATTCCTCCACAGATCTTCTCTAGATCACCAGGTTTCTGGGCTGTCACTGAGAAACAGAGTTTGAGCTCCCTCCAAATATTTTCTACAGGGTTCAGGTCTGGAGACTGGCTGGGCCACTCCAGAACCTTGATATGTTCTTACGGAGCCACTCCTTGGTTCTCCTGGCTGTGTGCTTCGGGTCATTGTCATGTTGGAGACCCAGCCACGACCCATCTTCAATGCTCTCACTGAGGGAAGGAGGTTGTTCCCCAGAATCTCTCACTACATGGCCCCCCGTCATCCTCTCCTTGATACAGTGCAGTCGTCCTGTCTCTTGTGCAGAAAAACACCCCCAGAGCATGATGCTTCCACCCCCATGCTTCACAGCAGGGATGGTGTATTTGGGATGGTCCTCATCATTCTTCATCCTTCAAACACACTGAGTGGAATTAAGACCAAAAAGTTCTATTCTGGTCTCATGTGACCACAGAACTTTCTCCCATGACTCCTCTGGATCATCCAAATGGTCCTGGTCAAACTTCAGACGGGCCTGGACGTGCGCTGATTTAAGCAGGGGGACCTTCGTGCCGTGCATGACTTTAAACTATGACGTCTTATGGTATTACCCACAGTAACCATGGAAACAGTGGTGCCAGCTCTCTTCAGGTCATGGACCAGCTCCTCCGTGTAGTTCTGGGCTGATTCCTCACCTTTCTTAGGATCATTGATTCTCCACGAGGTGAGATCTTGCATGGAGCCCCAGTCCGAGGGAGATTGACAGTCGTGTTTAGATTCTTCCATTTTCTAATAATTGCTCCAACACTTGATCTTTTTTCACCAAGCTGCTTGGTAGTTGTCCTGTAGCTCTTTCCAGCCTTGTGGAGGTCTACAATTTAGTCTCTGGTGTCTTTGGACAGCTCTTTGGTCTTAGCCATGTTAGTAGTTGGAGTCTTACTGACTGTGTGGGGTGGACAGGTGTCTTCATGCAGCTACCGACCTCAAACAGGTGCTTCTAATTTAGAATAAGAAGTGGAGGTGGACGTTATAGAGGAGGACTAACAGGTCTTTGAGGACCAGAACTGTTGCTGATTGGCAGGTGTTCAAATATGTATTTGCAGCAGTAACACACAAATAAATTATTTAAAAATCATACATTGTGATTCCTGGATTTTAAAAAATTTTTTTTAGATCGTGTCTCTCACAGAGGACATGCACCTAAGATGAAAATTTCAGACCCTCCCTGATTTCTAAGTGGGAGAACTTGCAACATCGCAGCGTGTTCAAACGCTTATAGTCCTCACTGTAAAATAGTTTGTCAAAATAAAAGCGTTTTAATATATTGTCACTTCCTGGTTTCTACTCCAGAAGGACGTAGTCGAGTCTCGCTGACGAGGATGTACGATGAAGTCCTTGCTCCGCCCACATGTCAGAACCAACACCTCCAGGCCGAGTGCCAAGTGTTGTGTGATTGGTCAGAACTTTGTGGGCGTGGTTAAAAGTATCCAAACTAAACTCCTCCCATTTTCTGTCAGGATCTATTTGAACAGCCATCTTTACAAATGTTCCAGCAAAACTTATAAAGAAAGGTCAAGTAAATATTTATTAAGATTTATGTACTGAGGTAAACTCCACTGAGGCCACGGGGCTGATTCTCCGGGGGACCTGGGCCTGAAGGAAGGTTTCTGGACTGTGCAAGGAAACCAGACCACCAGGAAAAAAACCATGAGGAGAACAAGCAAAGTCCACACACAAAGACCCCCCAGTCCAAACTGGGGAATGAACCCAGGATCTTCTTGCTGTGAGGCAACAGTGCTAACCACTGATCCACCATGCTGCCCCAAAGAACTGATGGAAGAAGACAGGACCGTCTCAAAACCACAAAGACAAGACCAGAAGTCTTACATCTTGTGAAGTACATTCAATTCAGTTTATTTATAAAGCGCCAAATCACATCAGAGTTGTCTCAGGACACTTTACAGGAACATTCACATAAAAGACAATTAGTAAAGTTCTCCATCTACATGGACTTTCCTGAGCAGCCATCTTCTCTACTTGCTTCACGGCACAAAGAAGACCACCGGCGTGGCTTGGCTTCAACCCCTCCACCCTGACCATGGCTGGCTGCAGCTCTGAACTCCTGGTCTTCCAGCTTCTTCAGTAGTCTGCTCCTGAAGTTCTCACGTTTTCTCTCCAACCATCTTCTAACGGAGCACCGACCCACCAGAACTTTCACTGAAACGCTGGTTCTGAAATGTTGCTACAACGGCCGCTTCGCCATCGACGAGTGTGACTCCACTCGTCTCATCGGTTCTTCTCAGGTGGAGGAGACCCGCTTCCTGCTCTGTGGGCGGGATCATAACTGGTCACTGTGTTCGAGCCTCTCCGCCCGTTCTGGTCCTTAATGCTCTCTAATCAGAACCGGACTTCTTTATCTCAACTCGGTTCTGCTCATCAGTCCGGGTGGAACCATGCAGCCATCATCTCTGCTGTCACTCAGACAGCCAACAGGAAGTGGAGGTTCAGGTGTGGTTTGACTGGGCGGGTCATGCGCTCTGCTGACCGCTCATCGGCTGCCGTCAGAGCGGTCCACTTAGAACTACAAGGTGGTCCCATAAACCGGGCTGAGTGGGGCAGTACCTAATCTAAATTAAAATGTGTAAATTACCCGAGATCAAATTACGATTGTTTTTAAATCAACACATCTTCTTAGTAACACACCCGAATATAACTTTTAGTAAAAAACTAATGTTATCTAATTTAAACTGAAATGAATGAAGACATTTTGATAGTTGTTTTATAGAAACCTGCAGAAACCTCAGACCTCCAGCTTGAAAACATAAAAACACGAGAGGCAGAAAGAACAAGTCAAACGGAGTTAGAGCTCTGAGGTCCAACAAGTCGGATAAAAGCAGGATCTAGGCAGAATGGAAACAAGACCTACAGACCATCTGCATGATTATTACTTAAATAAAAACTAAAACATGTGAATAATGGTTCATTTGTTGATTTGCTCCAAACATTAAAAATGGAAATGTTTGACTCTGTCCAGATGTTTTGGCTTCTTTCATCCAGCTGCAGTTTAAAGAAACAAAGCCTACATCGACGTTTCAGACCATCGTACAGCTCTGAGGGTTCAGAACTGGAGGTCCAGACCAGCAGGTCTACCTGTGTAGGTGGCCTCCTTGACTGCGTACGCCAGCGCCCCAGCTCCGATCAGCAGCTTGAAACCCATTCCAGATCCCAGAGGTTTGGACGACATCCTGCCTGCGACCTGCCGCAGCTGCTGGAGAAAACCCTGGAAACAAACGAAGTATAAAATAACAGGTCAGAATCTGAGCGCAGTCACAGGTAAGAGGTGAGGAGGTGCTTGAGGAGGTGCTTGAGGAGGTGCTTCAAGGCAGATGGATGGGAACATGGTGGCCTTGGAGGAGGACCAACAGAACCGATCATTCTATTCTCATCTATTTTTATATTTATTTTAAATTCACATTGTCATTAACTCTGATCTCAACAAAAAGCCTCAGAAAAAACTAATTTACTAAAACTGGGCAGAGGTTCGCTGCCGTGACGTCACTGCAGCTGGAAACATTTTTCAACTTTGTCCTTAAATGTAAATATTTTACAGTTTTATTTTAAAGCCGAATTAAAGAATGATTTGAGTTACGTCTCAGGATGAAAAATGAAAAAAATAAACCTGCGCGACCGACTGCAAACAAGATAAATGTTTTAATTTACAACATTTTTCAACCAAGTCTGGATTCTTCAAACAACTTCAAAAAGCTACGGTTCAAATAAATAAATAACTTAATAAATTAGTTTGAGGGACATTTTGTCCATTAAACTTTATATTTTTCACATTTTTAATCATCGGAACCGAGTTACCGAGCTAATCAGCCAGGCTGAACACGACTCACGTGCAGAACTTGCCGACGCCGCTGTCGCGAGGCCGTGAGCAGAGAGCGGGAACCGATACAGCGGTTCTACCGAACCGAACCTTCAGGTGGGCCCGGGTCCACCTGAAGGTTCGGTTCTAGACGATAAGACACTCACCATAGGATCCTTGTTCGCCATGCTGTCCTCTTTGCCTGTTAGAAAAACCGAAGGGGAAGAGATACACCAAGGTCACGGATGATGACGTATGTCCGGCGCGCGGGGTACCCTGGGAAATGTAGGACTCGTGACCTTGGGCCATTTGAGCCCGTTTGCGTTCTGAGCATTTAATGACTTTATTGTGTTTAATAACATCATAGGCGTAGCCAGGATTTTATGAGGGGCGGTTCGTTTGAAGAAAAAGTGGACCTGTAGGACTACTCTGATTGGTTCATTGGCGGTGGTACACATAACTTCAAATGTGTAAACAAGCTAATTAGCTAGCTAGTTAAAACACTGCTGTGTGAGGTAAATCTGTGTTACCAAATAGGCGGTTGTGAGTGGAGAAAGAGCAACACACTGAGAGGGGAATAGCGTGTGTGTCCAGTCTTCTATTCAGAACTCATCCCAGACACGAACGAACACTTCGGTACTCCCGAGTCCCGCCCGAACATACACACAAAAAAAAAAAAACACCGAAGAAGAATGAAAGACGTCATCCTCTTAAAGGCACAGTACCACTCCTTAACTCTAACAACATAAATGCAAACTAAGCCCGCAAATAATAACATTACTTCAATTGCAAAAATAACTCATCTTTTTACTTTGCTTTGTTAGACATTGTTTTTTATGAATGAAATTACTTCACCTCGCAGTTCTATATCTCGCGGGAGTTGTAGGTGGGACTTCATTGGCAAAGTGGGCGGTTCGTTCGAACCCCCCGAACCCCCCCTGGCTACGCGCATGAACATGATA